AATAACTGTTTATCTAACTTCAAAATACGTCATTTTCACAACATATTTATACAATGTAAGACTAAAGTGAAAACATAAAGTACCAAAATTTGTCACAGATAAACACTCAGGGTATGCACACAAGTAAAAGAACACAAGTCATGTTTTAGGGGCTAGAGTAACTCTGCACAGAAAAGTTTATTGTGAATTTACAGTTTTGAACAGTTTGTCTTAATCATAATCTCCAGCAGGGTCATTGTACTCGCAGGGTATCTGTTGTATATTAGTTCTTGTTAAATGATTGTTGCTAAAGGTAACATTTCATTTTTATGAACACCTTTTTTGCCATGGAACCATTTTTTCTTTTCGACCATAACAGAAAGAATTAACTTCACAAACACAAAGGAGAAGAAATTTAGAGAACCAGCTGGGAGCCAAGCAAAAGAACCTGGAAACAATGCAGAAAGCAACACCAGACTTAGAAGGAAAGGCAGAAACAATACAGCAACAGATTGTGAGGATTAATCACCAGAGAGCACAACTTGCTATGGAATATAAAGATTTTGTCCGTGTAAGCATCATGCACACTCTTATTATTGATAGCAGGGAAACAGGAGCTTAAAACTTTGTGTAGTATGTATAGGTGACAGTTAGTGACTACTGCATAATGAAACAAAAAGCATTCAATTTTACACAAATGAGCTGTGAATAATGTTAATGTACATGTAGGTGAAATGGTTACATGTACTATTTTACTGGTAAGTAACTTTTCATAGAACAGTCTCAATGCTGGGTGAAAAAATTGGCAACTGTTAAACATAGTTTTGCTTCACTTGCTAGGAATGCACCACAGTTTCCAAAGAGAAACTGGTACAGAGTCTTCAACAGGTGCAAACCACTGTTGAGAAATCCAAAGTGGAAGAGATGTTCAGGGAATCATCACAACAGCTGAACATGCTTGAGGTTTGTTTGGACCATATGTGGTTCATCATATATAAAGAGGATAAGACATGATTTTGGTCATAATGCTGTAATGTTATGAAAATGTGTCAAAACAGATTAGTTGTTCTCTGTAGGTACGTTAAACATTAATTTTGGGTTTGGCCAAGTCATTATCCTTTCACTGTACACTAGAGTCGATGCTTCTAACTTTGTATGTTTTACCCGTGATTCTTAAGGGAGAATATCTCAGAATAAACAACACCTTAGATGTGCAAAAGAAATTGGCTAAAGACCTGAAAAAGGTTGCTCATGAGAAAACTGGAATTCCTGATGGAGCAGATATACCTGATAAACTTAAAGAGGTAAATGAAGTTAATATCAAATTTACCTGATGGAAGCAATTTCTTTTGCTAGTTAGGTTTCCATCTTTAAATTTCTCAAATTAATATTTTATTTTAATTTTTAAGGCATTTAAGCTGTATCCTGATACACTAGAAGAAATAGATGAGATGATCCATGATGAGAAAGCTAGAATTGAATGCCAATACCAGAGCAACCCACAGGTAGAGTGTAAATACTGTTACATAACTGGCAATCAGTCAAATACCCCTAATGTTGGTGGAAATAGACCTCAGAGTCAGCCAGTCACACATTTATCTGCTCTTAGCATCAACTTACTGCCATGCAAAGAAGATAGTTTGGATGCACTGAACATTTTTATTTTATGTATTTTTTCAGGTGATTAAAGATTATGAAAGGCGTAAAAAGGAAATAAATGTGCTCAGTGGGAAGGTAATTATGTTTGAGTTAAATGAAAAAAAAAATGCACACAAACTCTTACACATACATGTGGTGCATCCTGTGACTCCCACCTCTAATAATTTGTCAGGGCATTCATTCAAAATATATGGTTAGCATTGTATGTACTACTTTAGGTTCAGGCACAAGAAACAGACCTAGAGACTGAGCAAAGAGAAATAACAAGTCTTAAAGAAAGGTAAAAAGTGCTCAAAACAAAGGCTGGTATTTAATGAAGGTAATGAATGTTGAAAAGAAGCAACATTGTGGCTGGTATAATAATTTGATAAGTTTTACTTAAGTTTGATTTTATTATCATTAACTACATTTTTGACAGCCATTAAAGTATGGCACTCAAATAACGTGAAGTTTACAAACTACAGATATAGTTATGTAGTTATGTACTGCTAACATTCTTTATCTTTTAAGTTGGCTGACACCTTTGCAAGAACTAGTTTCACAAATTAATGAAAAGTTTGGGGAGTTTTTTAGAATGATGGGCTGTGCAGGAGAAGTTGCTCTTTCAACAGAACAGGTTTGTGTGTTTTGCTGTTCTTTTTTAAGGGTGTGCAGGACTGGTTAAATAGAGAATAATACATGGTGCGCATAGATATGGAATTTCTCTTCGAGTTGAACACGAGAAGAGAAATTCCATATCTACAAGCAAACATGTCTTATTTTGTTTATCATATAAACACAAAAGCCCTTTACTGGGAAGAAAAGCTGACTTCATTAATGAATGAAAATAAATGAATCAACAATCCTTGAATAACAATCGTAGAGTGCGTTGGCGCTGACTCTTAAGATGAAAGAATGTGTCAGATCATGATTACAAAAACAACAATGGTTGTAATTTTCAATTTACAAAATTCTCATTTATTGACTTTGTCCTTACCGACAGAAGAAGTCTTTCAGGTAAACAGCCAAAATCAGCCAGTGGCAAATCTTCCAGTTGTCAATTTTCATTCTAAGCCAAGAGAAATGCTAACACCATAGCCACTGAATATGCCACTTCCAGTTTTTCTTTTAGTATATTGATTTTCTTCCCCTTCTAGGAAAGTTTGAACCTCATTGTCTGTCAGTGACATGGGTTTTTTAGTCTTTGTGTTTTAGTGTTAGTGTTGAGCTGCCATAATTTGAGAAAGCTCCAACAGACAACTTGTACTGAGAATCGTGAAGGCTTTGCTTTTCATTCATCAACCTGACAGAGTGGTGCCAGAAGGGAGTGATGTGTAAGCAGCTGATTGGCTATATTGACACGCATGAAAAAATACAATATTTTTTCACATGTGTTGTTACGGCTTTTCTCAGGGCCGGAAATCCTTGTATAACACCACAGTTTATGTAATGATTATTAATGCTTCTCATCTCTTTTGTTTATGTGACAGGGTGAAAACAACTTTGATAAATATGGTATCCAGATTAAGGTGAAATTCCGTGCAAAGGACAGTCTCCATGTTCTGACTCCATTCCATCAGAGTGGTGGAGAGAGAAGTGTATCAACCATGTTATATTTAATGGCCCTACAAGAACTTACTAAATGTCCCTTCAGGGTGGTGGATGAAATAAACCAGGTATCAGATATAAATGGTGTCCATCAAAATAATTAGTGCGAAAACACAGCTGATCCTTGTGTATAGAGAGGTCTGTATCAGCTGGTCAGCAACCTGAACAATTATTTTATTTTTAAATCACACTCATGTTTTCAAGTGACCATTCGCAATTTTCCAAACTTTGTGCCATGGATGCACTACGTAACTGATTTGAATCAAATAAATCAGCATTAATGAGCACTGCATGTTATTTTTAGGTCCTTTTAATGTTGCATGCCTTCAGATGGTTATAAAAGATGGTCTTATTTTTTAGGGCATGGATCCTAACAATGAGAGGAGAGTTTTTGAACTTGTGGTTGAGACAGCTTGTCGACCTTATACCTCTCAGTATTTCTTAATAACTCCCAAGGTATGGAAAAAAACACCTTATGAGAAAATTGACATGCAGGATAAAAACTACCTCTTATACATGTACACTGTATTTATTTGCTACTCTCTACATACATGTACATCCACAGGGTACATTTTAACAAAACTTACTCATACACAGATCCACAACTGGTACCAGCAAAGTGATCCAGTAGACAGTATAATTTTGTAGTCATTACTTCTCTGGAAAGTTGAATTTTTCATCTAACTGTTAACTCTCTTTCTTTTTCAGCTACTTCCAGACTTGACATATAAAGAAAAGATGACTATCCTCTGTGTTTTCAATGGTCACTATATGGTGCCACATACTGATTGGAATATTGGGAAATTTATTCAAAGGAAAAAAGCACTACAAAGTCAAACCTAGATATCTTTGTGTTGGGTTTGATGTAGGGCCAATGAAGATACACCATTCTGCTGTTGACTTTTCAGAGAATTGATATTCACATTGTTGCAATTTATCATAGATGTAGCTTGAAATTATTTGTTTTTGTTATTATGAAAGAATAATTGATGCCAAAATCAGAGATGGTTAAAGGTTACAAAATTGTATTGGGTAATGAACCTACCAGAAAGTGCAAGTGGTTACGCAGAAACTCTCCTTTCCTTTATTTGCATATAAATACACATTTTTTTTTTTGTCATTCTTAATGTTAGTTTAGCTTTCATGTTTTCCACAGGAAGGAACCAAAACAAAGAAATTAAAGAGTATTCTGGTGCATTGTTGCTGCAAAGGAGTCAGCAAATGTATCTTGCAGCGTTAGTTACTCACTTTGCTATGAGGTGCAAGTTAAATAGTACCTATGAATAAAGTGTTGGAAATTTATATCAGTTTTGCTGTTCTGAGTTGGGATTTGTACATGGGATTGTTTGTACTTGCACTAATTTCTCTTTTCCCTCACTAGTGATAGTGTTACAGTACTGTAGATGCCTATAGTTTCCTTTGAAAACTGAACTGAACACTGTCATGGTTCTTTCATTGGGATTAGTGGTTATGATTTGTCTCTAGTCTTAGTGTGTCTAAGGTTTAAGGACAATACTTTTTTGATAGCAGATTGAGATATGAACTCAAAAGAAATACAATGTGTTAAATGGTTTATTCACTTTTCTTGAGGCCTTGATAAAATACAAACAGGAATTCTTGATTAACTAACAAGATTAAAGATACATATAAGTACAAAAGACGAAGTCTGTCCCTTGTCATACACAGCTGCCTGATCCTCTTGACTACATATGCCAATGGATATGATTAATTATACTTAACTTTTTTTTTAGCTTGTATTTCTAATACTTTTTTCATTTTTAACTGGTAGGACCTTGAAGAACTAGTACGTTTTCTTTATGCTGGACAATTAACCCCACTCAATTTTGCAACAAGAACTTTCCTTAATGTAGTTGTAAGCTGTTCTAGTTCTTGCACCTGCTTGCGCAGTTCTGCATTACTTTTCTCAAGTTCCTCCTCTTGTTGGAACAGATCTTGTTCTTTCTGCCTTCTAGCAGCACGAGCATGTTTTGAAGCAATGTTATTCTTTAATCTTCTCACTGTTTGTTTGTCAAGAGTACTGGAAATGCTCATAACTTCATCATAATCACTCTCCTTGTCTAAATTCTCATATTTTACTTTCTTAGATGGTGATTTACAAACATCAGCAGAATTAACTCTCTTTCTTTTCTGATTAGATTGAACATGAGCACTGCTTTCTTGACTAACTGTACACACACCACCTTCACTTGGCAAACTAACATTGTGTGCATGTCCAAGATCATCAGAAAGAGAAAAAATGTCAGCAATTTCAGCAATGTCCACAGTCACAGTTGAAATATTTTCAGAGCTACTGGCCACATTCTCAACCGACATTGGAGAAGCTACAGGCACAATGCTAACAGAAGACTGTAACAGCTCTTGAGTGAGAAGAGTCAGTGCATCTGATGTTTGGATGACTGTGATTTCTTCTGCGGCTGTATCAGCCATTTTTTCTCCATTAGAATCAGAGGTAAGTTGATGAGTACATGATAGAAGACTTTTGCAATCCTCTTCCAGAGACACAACATCTACTACACTCTCAGGGGAGAGTGCCATGTCAGTCAAGTCTCCAGCAGATGAGAAGACCTCAGAATCACTACCTAGTGAGACAGCATCAATTGCATCACTACCAGGGGAAGCCACATCTGAGTACTCAGTAGTTCCAGCAGTCTCCATCCTCACTACATCTGACTGGCAGATGTCTGAAGTGGAGACTGGCAATGTATGCTCCACTCCAAACCCTAGATCCATTGTATCAAGATGTGGGAGATCTGGAAACAGGTCGTCGATATCAAGGTATTGCTCGAAGAAAGGATTGCCCATACCGCCTGGTGACTCACAAAAGTCCAATAAACTTTCCATTGGATGTTTTGCTGTTTCTGATGGTTTGGCGTTCAACTCATCAAGGAGCTCGAGGGCGATGAACTCGTTATCTTCAGCATCAACCTGATGTAAGCTTCCAGTGTCCTCCAATGTTTCCAATTTATCTAGAAACGAAAACAGAAAACATTAAGAATTGTTTGACACGAATGAGATAGTAAATTAACTTTACAGTTGCGATTAGGTTTTGCTTTCAAGAGGAGTTACGACATGACTGATGGACAGAGGTATACCGGCAACAAAGAAATTTACAGCTAAACTTCAATACTTTGTCTTTGTTCGAGACTTTTCACAAGAAATCACTGCCTTTCAAAATAAACCTGTTCAAACCTTACCATTTTGTAGGTCATCAAACAGGCCGCATAAATTCCGAGTCCAGGGTTTGTTTCCATTGTTTTCGTGTGTTTCCATTTTCGTTTCCTTCTCGCCGATGTATCGATTTTTTTCCTCTACTTCGATCGAGCCGCTTTCCATGCGGTCGATTTTTTCGAGGTAAGGATCCTTCGGAATGTACCATGACGAAGATTTCTGCGACAGCGAACTTACTAAGCATTGTGAACTTTTCAATGTAGATAGGTTAACCGTCGAAACTGCCGTTGTGTGGCTTAAGCCTGAACTTTGTAGAGAATGTTTTCGAGCGCCGACTCGTCTAAAAGCGGCGCCAACGCTGTCGATCTAACGCAGACCAAACCCAACGAAGACGTAAAATTTCCTCGACGTACCTCACGAGGAAAAACAAAATTGAAGATAAATTTGTGAAGTTGTTGCACTCTTTATCCAGATGGTGGTGCAATAGTTGTGCTATAATTCTTCACTTACGTCAACATGAACCAATCACAGGCCGCGTAAGTTTAGTTTGTGATGTCATTTTTGACCAATCATGTGTTGATTTTATCAACAATGAAAACCAAATAAATTATTTATTTTATTCGACTCGGCCGTTCAAGCCGTTTGTACTCGTCCAAACAGAAGGTGAATAGACCAATATTTACGCCACAGATTCAAGAGGAAGGATAATTCAAGAAATGCAACTAATGTTCATTTTAGTCATTGTTATGAAGTGAGTCTTCAGATGTTTCTTCGCTTTGCGAACAATCAGGCCTTTTTGAAACTTGTGCATTAGAAATTAATCTAAAATAGGAATTTGTTTGGTTACCTGATTTTCTTCTTTTTTTTCTTTATTTTATTTATTTATTTGGTCTTTGCATGGCGAAAATAAATTTTGTTGAGAAAACCTTTCGTAATGGTGCAACTTTCTATACTCTTTGGACCAAGAGCAATGTGACGTGAAGGATACGATAACTCACTTATAATTTGTTGTCGAAGTGTGTTTCGCTGTAATTTTTTGTTCCTTAAGTTTAAAAATGGTTGAGTCTTACGAATTTGAAGGTGAGTTTATAACTGGGCTGATTTTGTAGAAATGTGTGGGAAAAAGCTCTGGGTGCTTAGGATCTAGATTGAATGTCCTTCAACTCTGAACAACAAAAACATTCGTCAGCCGTAAGATAGCTTCGCAATGTCCTCTCCAAAGACACCATTCATTCAGTGTTTCCGACTCTCGTAAAATAATCAATCGCAGCTTCTGTTTCCTCGATGCCTTCTTCGCTTGGAGAATAACTGGAAGGGTTATAAGCCACCCATATTTGTGAAATAAAGACCTACAAATGTAAATGTAAAATTTGCACATAATATGCGCTGCTAAGCAGCATTTGCAATTGAGATGAGTGTTTTATTTCCCCACCACAAACGTCACATTCAACCGCTGATAATCCTTTTGAGCCGACGGTTTACGGCCGCTAAAGCGCGAAAAAGGGAACTTCAAATCTAATTTCCTCGTAAATAACAAGAAGTGAACGAAAATGACTACCGATAATTTATCTTACTCCTCTAAAGCTAACTAGAAATGAGTGCCGATAAAATGAAAATTTAAAGACTTCATTTCCTCATTAAGAATACATGAAACAGAATAAGATTTGACTGATGATTAATAAGACCTCTTACTTCCTGCTCGTCCCAGTCCATTCCCGTTCAGACACAAGAATACTGTAAGGGTGGGCGAACTTAGGACGAAATCACAAGCTTCTGTAGCTAATCCATCCAGACTAGAATACACCCTTTTATCATTACTTTATCTGTGTTCATTTCTATTTTGTCAGAAAAAGTAAATATGCCTCTTTTTAGTTTTGCACCAGGGCTCCTAGCTCCACTAAGTAATTCCCTCTCCATTGCGTGATTGGGATGGTAATGATTGCCTAAAGGTGTAGTCTGACACCTGGCATCTGACAGCTGCCGTCGTGTTTTGTTCCGGATGAACCAGAATCACATACAACTTAGGAGCGAACATACATCCCAACAAGCCATACGAGCTCACAAGTGTAGTTACACAAGTCACGATGGTTACACTTTGGTTTTCTAGGCCTGCAAAGTCCACTGGGAAGTAAGCTATGGTGGAAAGAAGGAGAATATAAATTGCAAAACCGATATACCTCGCTTCGTTGAAGTTTTCAGGTAACTTTCTCACTTTGAAAGCATGAATGGTGCAGATAGCAGATATCAAAACGAGGTAGCCGTTGATTGCCATATGCAAGCTGAAGCCCAAAGAAGAACTGTGTGGGCGACAAGTCAGAAAAATGTACTCGCCTCGTTGTATAACTCGTGTCATAAAGGGAGCGTCCAGAAAAAGCCAAAAAGTCAACAGAAAAAATACAACCGAGTTCAACAAAAAAACCAAGGTGGCTTGAACTTTTATCGTCAGAATGTACTGCTTCATTCGTTTGCCGATGAAATCATCACGGAAAGCACTTAGAATACGAAGAGTTTTAATCATGAGTGTCGCAACACACGTACCGAGCGCACTGTAGTTCAAGCAGTAAGCTAAACGGCAAGTTAGAGTAGTAGGTTGCATGATACTTAGGAACGTTTGAGCGAAGAACATGGTGATGGACAACAATAAGATTGCGCTTAGTTCACGGCTTGAAGCTTTCACGAGCGGTGTCTCTCGATGTCTCATTAGAACAAGGGACGAAAATATCGTAATTAGCACACCGAAAACTATAAAACCAGTGACTAGGTAACCCGTAGTGTCTGTCAGTTGGATGTTAACTATCGGTAGATCTTCGCATTCTGTACGATTTTCATTTGACCTCTGACCCGCAGGACATTCTGTGCAATTTCTAGACCCAGAGTCTCGATTAACAGAGCCCAGAGGGCATCTTGCACATTCCCAGCAGCATGCAGTTGTAACAGACTGCACAGTGCCTGGAGGACATATCACGGAACAAGCTGATGTGGGTGGAACACTCGCATTTGAAGACTTCCTACTCCATTTGATCTTATCGACTTCAAGCTGAAGTCTTACTCTGGAACTCCTATTCCAAGATCCGATGATTTGTTTGACATTTTGTGTAACCCCTCCCTCTTCGTGTCTATGAAAGTTAATAACTCCATAGGATGAGGTCACGGGGTCCCCTGACTCATCAAATAGAAATTTTCCCATAATGCCATCAAAAGAAACGTTTCTCAGGTACTGATCAACATCCAGCGGCCTCACTGATGGATAAATTTGAGGACATCTCCCCTCTGGGAGTAGACCATGAGGTTCCCTGCATAAATACATCATGTGGAGAGCATGCGCAACCGCATAAACTGCCTCGATTACATAAGGTAGAAAAGTGTCGTAGAGCTTTTGAACTACATTTTGAGTCAGAGTCGCATTCTCTCCACACGCACGGAGTACAAGCGATTTTTTTATGGAGCAATTGAACTCTTTCGTCCAAACTTTTTCCCACCATTGAGACGTACGTTTCTTAATCATGTCCTTCGGAGTAATTGTTGCCAAATAAGATTTGAATTCTTCATTGTGATGATAAAATGGCTGAATGCCCAAGGCCCCATCCAGGACACTGAATAGTGATTGAATGTGGTTTGGTTGTTCTGATGCGAGGGCGTCACTTAAAATCCAGGTGCGATCGAGTAAATTCTGGTTCTCCACTTCGTGAATGAAAGTTCGTCCATAGCCACCAAACAACCAAAGAACAACCACTCTGACATTTGAGCGCCTCTTCAGTTTGCTGACTATGACTTTAATTTTGTTCATGTAGTTTAAACGAGGAATGTATTCTGAGAGAGCTAAGCAAAATGACTTCCTTATGAAGGACTCCTTTTCAAGTGCCCACACTCCATATCTGCCATACGAATCATCAACAGCTACTGTGGCAATGTAACTCCAATCAAAGTATTCAAACAGATCCGCCATTGCACTTGCCTGCTGCTTGTCCGATGGTACTGTTCTATAAAAGTTTTTGTAGAACGGCGAGCTTAGTTCTTCACTCGTAGCAGCATAACTGACAGCTGGTATACCGGCGACTTTAAGCAAGCTTCCAACTAGGACGGAGCTGCCGGAGTCAGCTGGCCCAATCAGAGAAACAATTGGACTCGAAGAATGCGTCGCTGTTTTATTCCTTGCAAGTGCCCTGATGGCTTCCTGTGAGCATGCGTAGTGTGAGTCGCTACCTTTGACAAACTGATAAGTGGATTTCATTGCAAGCGCAGCACTCTCACAGTAGTCATGTATGTCATAGCCCAGTGTTATGTTTGGAAGCAAACTCGAGTCGTTGTTTATCTTTTCTATGGCGAATATCATTGCCTGAGCGTGACCTAATCCAGGGGCATTAAAATTACCGCAGTCCTCATTGTCAGTGCCTTTGTAATGAAGGAAAAACAAGCCACCAAGGGTTACGTTGCTAGTTTCGAAACCTGGTATGCTTGTGCTAGTAATGTGTTGCAACTGTTCCGAAATTGAATGGGATAAAGACAATAAGATACAGCTAAGTAAAAAAAGTGACGATATCATTTTCTCCAAATGGCAATCCATGGATAACTATCTCTGGCAGGAATTGGGTAAATAGAGCATCTTATCTCTATAGGTTAACACGTTTTGGACATCTTCAAAGATCTTCAAAACAGATGCCTGCAAAGAAATTAAGTTGAGCGCGTGAGATGAAAAGAAATGAGTAGACGAATTTTTACGCATAGCACCCCTTACCATAAATTTACAGTTCATGAATTCATGGAGTAAACGGTTTTAGGATGGTAATGAAGGTGAAAATCAACACGAATCACTGACTTTATAAATTGCCAACATTCTCGACGTTGTCTACAGTGTTGAGAGTTTGAAGTTCATGTAAGAGCGAAGACGTGTAACCACAATTACATATATATTTTGGTAGAAAAAAGCTTTAAAGATGTTATGAGAACATGTTAACTGTAATGCAAACAACTTTATGTCTTATAAAAAGGGATTATTTGGGTCCATAAGTCAGTTGTGCTGGCTCAAGCAAGGAAGCATTGTTTCTCCGGCTCTCATTTATTTTTGCTAATGGCTTAGGTCCTTCTGAGCAAAAAGTTTATTTGCTTATTCGCCCGAACTTCTGACTGAATGCATCAAGGTCCACCTTAATTTATATTTTTTTGTGACCATTCTTATCAAACTTTCCGGTTTTAAGCAAAGTACTTTTATAATGTGACAAGCGACAATAATGTGACAATAAAGCTTGCATGGACCCAAAGTTAATCAAACTACGGAGGGAATAAGGTCAGCGCGATTATTGACTCAGTTACGACACATTTAGTAAATCTCAGGGCGAAAAGATGAACTAAATGATTTGCAGAAGATATTTAGAGATAACACCCGAAACCTTTTCGTTGAGTGTCCCGGCCGTATGCGAGCTGTTCTAGACATAAGCTTCAATTTACGTTTTTGAAAAA